ATGCATTCTCCCAAGAAAAAAAAAAAACCTCTTTAGCAATACACACACCAAACTGAGTATGTGCAGAGTGACTCCACTTGATATAACTTATCAGGAGATAAGAAAAGGACACTGGAAGAAGGGGAGGATCAGAGAAGTCAGGATCAGCCTTTTAACACAATGCAGAGGATTAACCCTTTAGGTTCCACAGTGAGTATGCCAAGCATGCTTTACTGCATATACAGACTGATTTTACTGTTGTGGGTTTAGTAACACTTTAACCTCATCACAGCATTCATTCTGCTCAGTCAGGTCTCTGACTATATTTTGCTCATCTGGGTACAACGATCTGTTCTTGGAAGCCCCAGACCTGGAGATGAACACAAGAAACAATAACAAGAATGAATACTGCCAGTACAAGCATTGCTTTTTTTATCTGATCAATCATTTGACCTGATGATTTCATTGACTAGATGTCAATATCTACTGTTGGAGCAAATCTGGCCATGCTTTATGCAGGCCATAGACGGGTCGTTTATCAGCCAAATTTTCGTCCGTACGAAAAAAATGGCTGATATTCGGCCGTTTTTTTTTGCGGATCCTCTCATTTATTTTTATCGGTCATGCTGGAAAATCCACAAAAAAAACGTCCGATTTCATGGACATTGGTGGCAGCATCGGCAATGGGGCAGACCGATATTTCGTTTATCGGCCGACAATTCGGCTGATAAACGGCCCATCTATGGCCAGCCTTACAGAGTTTTTTTGCCTTCCTCTGGATCAACTGTGGCTATAGGGCTCTGTATGTGGAGGTTTTCTATTTTCCATGTATTTATTCTATTGGTTGAACAGGATAGACTTGTGTCTTTGTTTAACCTAACAATGTAACACAGATTGTCCAATTTAACACAAAGGAAAAAACACCTGTATTAGGGTCCCTTCACATGGGGCGGACCCGTTTAGCGGATCCGCTTGCTCAGTGGGGATCTCTCCGCTGAGCAAGCGGATGATAGGTCTGTGTCTTCTCTGCTGCAGAGCAGGCACAGAGCAGCTCGCTCTCCTCACGCGGTCGTATGAAAACAGACTGCCTGTCCATTTCCATCTGACGGACCGAAGGGGAATGGGATCCCCATCCATCCCTTTTTTGTGGGTCGAACCCAATTGAATGTATGCAGGTGTAAACGGACACATCTCCATAAAGGAGAATGGAGGTCTCAATTGAGTCCGCCTGCGAAACGGGCAGGTGGACCCGATCGGAACATCCTTGTGAAAGAGACCTTAATCTGATCATTTCTAATAAAAAGAACCCCCTTCCTCAGAGCTAAAACTGTTTTAGCTCTGAGGAAGGGGGTTCAGCTCCCGAAACGTGTCAGCTTATCCGCATCAAAGACACAGCACTTTTGTGACTGTTTTTGTGGACCACATACACTGCTTTTAATATCGTTGGTTTGTGAGTATACATCCATTTGTCTATTTAATAAAACACGTGGTATACCACGGTAATGCACGATGAGAGTGCGCACTTGTCTGTTCTTTTTACCAGTGGTCAGATTTCCCGATCTTTGAAGGGCAGCACCTCTTCGATTGGCATCCTGTTATCTTTCAAGTTTGCATGAGGATTGGAGCGCTGGTTTCGTTTGTTGATCATTTCTAATGGCAAAAGCCACTGAGCATCGATAGAAAAAAAAATAATTTGATCAACTGCTTTGTTTAATAGAAAAAGTACAATTTCCTGAGCTGAAAATCGATCATTCTTTAAAATATTTAGAATTTTAATCTAATGGTTTTACTCTTGGATTCCATGTTGTAAAGTCCTGGGAAGGGTGTAATGTGGACTTTGTGGTCATTGTAAGACAGGGGGAACTTCTGTCCTGTGCATTGCTACGTCCTGCCAAGCCAACCTATGGAAAGACAATACTGTCATTCTCTAGTTAAATGATAAGCTGGGACAGTTGACAGCACAGGATAGAAAAAACATATCAGTCCTCAGGTTCTTTCACACTGCTGCGACCTCAGAGTCATGCGACTTGTAGTGGACTTTGCATTGTGACTTGGTGCAACTTCAATGTGACTTCAATGTGACTTTCATTGGTTCATTTCATTGGTTTTGGCCAATTATAAGAATACAGAGTGTGACACACATTATTGAACTTACAAAACCCTCTGAAGTCACAGCCAAAGTCATAAAGACAAAGAAACAACTTCCTTGCGACTTTTGTGATTTTATCATTGCAGTCTATGGTATTATTCATGTCACAAAGAAGATGCAGAAAAGTAGTGCAGGAACTATTTTTTTTTATTTTGTTGCTGCAAATTGAGTCACAGCAATTAAGATGGCTGCTATTGAAATGAATGTGCTTTGACTTTCCATGTGACTTTCTGTGTTGCACGTCACATCAGTGGTACCAGGGCTTATGTTGAAGTGGGACTGTCTAGTTGTTCATCTTTGAAATGTTACTAAAAGCTCATTTCTCATCAAGAACTTTTCTGGTTTAGGTTTAATGACCATTTAATGTGTACGAGCAAAGAACGAGTAGGATACCCAGAGCCTTGTGTTTTTGTAGAGAAGGAAAGAGATTTTTACACCCGTTTTCAGTGACCCTGAGCAGGTGGATTTCATCACCGATGGATGAATGGAGTCAACGGCTGAAGTACTGAATTTCAACTGTTCCACTTTAGGTTACTTCCCCACCACATTGGTAAGTATAATTATCCATATCATACACATGCAGAAGCTCAGACCAAATATGGCCGCTCCATATTCCACTATACATGTAAAAGCATTAAACCACAGCCAGGAACCCGCCGAGAGCCAGGCATAGGATGCCACCTGTTTCCAATCTCCGGGACCCAACAAGAAGAGCGGAGAGGTCATAGTCCGGGGCCGGTAATACAATGCCGCAGACAATCACTGGAAGTTGGGGAATTTGGAGCTCATTAGAGTATTTAACCCGTCATCCTGATTGTGTGACAAAACTCTTAAGCCTGCAGTTGAACCATGAACAAGTAAATTGAAGGGTATAGGCCATGGGGGACTCCGGGGCAGCCATGTAGAGCCGGCTTCTACAAATCACCATCCATCCGTCCTCCTCTCAGGATTACTGTCAGCGGTAGACATCATTAACGGTAGAACCAATCAATGAGACGCTACCACTTAGATGGCTAAAACACGGGAGGATTAACCTGCTACAATTATCCTTCATCAGCTTAACTCCACTGCCTCCTACCATGGGAACCGCCAGAGCTCACACGGAGAATGGGACACTATGCCGAAATCACAGAAGAGGTTCCATGACATTCACAGATAAGTATGTCATGTTTTCAGGAGGTTATCATTTATTGTAAACATAAGATATCCTAAGATATTAAACATGAAGGCAGTAAAAGTTCTCCTATGATGTCCTGACCCTATGGTCCTGTTTGTCAGTGCTCTATGTGTGCCATGAAGTGCTTCCAGAAGCTGGGTTCCAGCTCATGACTGTCTCTGGATCATAATGAAATCCTTAGTCCCAGCATCAATAGGTCTTAAAATTTCTATTGAGAAGCATTCCTCCAGCTCCAGAGTGCTTGCAGCAGTTGAGTTCCAGATTGAGGCTGCTTTAACTCCAGCTCCAAAATCTCTCTAGAACTATTTGGCCAGCTCTGGACTGCTTCAAGCAGCTGAGTTCCAGTTCATGGCTTTCTCTGGAACATACGAAAATCCTTAGTTCTAGCTACAGTAGGTCTAGAACCCTCAACCTTAGAACTATTCTGCCAGGTTCAGAGTGTGTCCAGTAGCTAAGTTACAGCTTGAGGCTTTCTCCAGAGCATAAAGAAATCTGTAGCACCAGCTCCAGTAGGTCTAGAAGCCAGGATCTTTCCTTAAGCCCTGAGTGCTTCTAGTAACTGAGCTCCAGTTCATGATTTTTCTGGAACATAAGGAAATCTTTAGCTCTAGTTCCAATAAGTCTTGAAACCCTGACTCTAGGATCATTCCTTTGGCTCAAGAGTGGTTCCAGCAGCTGTGCTCCAGTCTCTGGAAAGATAAGAAATTCCTTAGCCCCAGCTCTAATAGGTCTAGAAACCCCAACTCCAACATCATTCCTCCAGCTCCAGAGTGCCTCCAGCAGCTGAGCTCCAGTTCAAGGCTTTGTCTGTGACATAAAGAAATCCTTAGCTCCAGCTGCAATAGAAACACTGACTCCAGAATCATTATTCCAGCTCCAGAGTGGTTCCAGCAGCTGGGCTCCAGCTCAAGGTTTTTTTCAGGAAGATAAGGAAATCCTTAGCTCCGGCTCCCATAGATCTAGAAAACCTGACTTTCAGAATTAATCTGTCAGCTCCAGAGAACCTTCAGCAGCTGGGTTCTCAGCTTTCTCTAGCATATAAGAAAATCCTTAGCCCGAGGTCTAATTGGTCTAGAAGCCCTGACTCCAGAATATTTCTCCATGTCTAGAGTTGCTTCAGCAGCAAAATGTCCGCAGTAGGACTTCTCTAGAGACATGTAAACCCTAACTGGAAGACATTTAGCTTGCTCTGTGTGCTGTGTATCATTAATAACCACAATTTTTAATATTAGAACTTTTGTTTTCACCTTTTTTATCCTGTGCTGCATCTAAGTGCTGCTGATCTCCTGCAGCCTTTTTGCAGCTACTTCCTGTGTACATACATTCCAATGACAGCTGCATTGGATTTCTCACAATGCTGATAGAAACAACAGTGGACCATAACGGTCTAATGAGTGTTAAATAGACCATTTGTAGTCTTCATCTGAAGAGTGCAAAACAATAATAATAGTGCGGTGCTATACCATAAAAATACAATATAAATATTAATAACTTAATTGTATTTCAATAAACAAACAAACCCCCCCCCCCCACACACACACACACACACACACACTAGTTGTATACCATCCAGTAACCTGATCCTGGGGTGATCCTGAAAGCGTGCTGGCCCAGTGGGTCATAGTAAGGAGGTGAGGGGGCATTTTACCAATTGAGGATTTTACAGTTGGTGTCACGGGAGGACTGACAACTCATGGGGCCCCTGGGCAATAGGGGATCATGGGGCCCCTGTGTCCTTGCCCAAACTGAAAAAAGCCTATAAAAAAACCAGGGGCATCTCATGGGGCAGTGCCCGAGTTTCCAAATGGTCAGTCCGCCCCTGGTTAGTGTGAATACACATTCACCTTATCATCTGCATGGAATATATTTATGTATATTTTGGAGCACGATTCATCTAAGAGTTTTGTGGACATTTAGGGGTTTTCTGTTTACCTGTCACTGAATATTTTTGTTATGCATTGTTGATTGCTTTTATATAAACACTGGTCACTTTGTTTTAGGAGAGTATTCCCCCTATTTGGGGAATCACAGATACTTTGCACTAGTGTGTGTGTGTGTGTGTGTGTGGGGGGGGGGGGGGTTGTTTATTGAAATACCATTCGGGGTAGAGATTACCCTGGGGATTTGTCTTGATTGGTTTCTTTTTTCACTTTATGAGGCCTTGGGGAGGACCATAATACACATTATTGGGCACTACATGGTATTTGGCACTAATTAGACCCGTATTGGATCTTATCACTATAGAATTGTTTTTTGCATGTATATTATATTCAATTTTATATTATTTATCATTTGTTATTATTACTGATTAAGTGATTGATATTTATATTGTATTTTATATGGTATAGAGCGGCACTATTATTATTGTTTTGCACAGTTTTTGAAAGGTATAAGATAGAGTGTTGGCCGCTTATTTATACATTGATCACTCCTAATAAGCGCAGGAGGAACTTTTTAGTTGGTTTCATCTGAAGAGTGACAACAGAGGAGCACAATTGTGAGACAGAACATTGTCACCCTGTAACAGGAAGGGCTTGTCCCAGGACCTTCATGGCAGGATCATCAGGGATAATTTCAATGAAAGTTAAAGATGAATGATTAGATATTTTAGTGATTGGCTTTACCTATTCTTTAATCTTCACACTGACAGTTAAAGGTGAACAATTGTTCTTTATTCAATCAGTGAACTGCTGCATGTCGGAGCACTCTTCGCTTGGTGCCAGATTCTCTAGTCTGATGATCATGAACTGCAGCAAACCGTATAAGGAAATGATAATAATCTATTCCTGTAATAAAGGCCTCTGTGGGATATTTTTTTGGGGGGGGGGGGTGCTTGGGAAGGGAGGGGGCCCATGTCGGCGACATCCATTATGTCACCACAGGCCATGTCGCTGTGCCATGTACAAAGAGGGAAGCGGCTGTCTTGTGCCTCCCGCAGACTCAGTCGGTGAAATGTCTTTATATAGCTTTATGCAAGCACTTAATTCAGGAAAAAAAGAAGAAAAACATATTTTCATGCTGATATCACCCGTCATAAATCTCATTTTGTCAGCTCTATTTATTACCTATTAAACTAATAGCTGCAATACTTCTGCACAGAGTTAAAGACAATATAATTATGTAACATCCCCCGGGAGAAAGAACATTCCAATACTTTCAGCATGAAAACAAAAATCTCTGAGTGAGCATCTTTGAGTTTACAGAATTACAGAAAATATTACAACATTAAAAGATGTCATCAAATTTGGTTTTATGCTGTCTTCCCTTGTTCGTCTCTCTCCCCTTTCATCAACATGATAATAAAATTGAAAAAAAAAAAACCAAAAACCTTTCCTTTATCAATACATACCTAATTTTAGATCCAGTGGTGTCATCACTGGGTATTTGTGCTTCTCTATGCAATACAAGCAGATCATGGCTGGTGGGAGGGTGCTGTGAAAACATCACAGCACCATGCCTCAGTACTCCTCTCAACAGACCTAAGCCCTGATGCATGAAGGGCTGGCTCTTGGGGGGAGTTATTAAAATATTAAAATGCTTTGGTGGGTTGGTGTGGGCGTTCCTAGGCAGGCTGGATATTATTATTATTATACAGGATTTATATAGCGCCAACAGTTTGCTCAGCGCTTTACATTATGGAGGGAGACAATACAGTAACAATACAGTTCAATACAAGAGGGATTAGAGGGCCCTGCTCCTTGGAGCTTACAATCTAGGAATGTATGCCAACCACCCTAGCTAATGCCCACATGTGATTCTGAACCTCCATGGTTGAAATAACAGGGATCCAATGAATGAAAGGGGCGGGCCAGGGACAGTCAGGCTGGAGAAGAAAGAGCTAGATGATGCTGGACGTCCTCCAGCCAGGAAAATGAGATGAGCAGTATATGGCATACTGCAGCTTCTGATGCACATTGTGAGAAAAAAATCAGAGTAAGCAATATCAGTACAGGAGAGAAGTCTGTGCAACCGTGAAAGTCTGAAGGGAAGGCTGGAGGTCGACTTCAAAGAACAATGGCATTGCAGACAATCTCTCAGTACTGCGACTAGGGGGCAGGGCAGACTGACCATTTGGAAACTCGGGCACTGCCTGAGGGCCCTGGGTCAGTAGGGGGCCCCATGAAATGCCCCTGGTACCTTTTTCATAGGCTTTTTTGAGTTTGGGCAAGGACACAGGGGCTCCATGATCCCCTATTGCCCGGGGGCCCCATGAGTTGTCAGTCCGCCCCTGGTAGGGGGCATGACTCTGTCAGTACATAGGATAATCAGCCCACCCAAAAGTGGCACTACAAGTGGAGTCCTCTGAGCTGAACCACACATTGGCTTCTTGTGGGTCTTGGTCCTCCAGATATCACCACCAAAGTTGTCAGCTATGATATCACCCAGCTTGGAGTTTCAGGGGTCTTGGTCCACCTTGGGGGGATCCCCCTCCCTATTATATAAATAAATATCCATCCATCATGGGAGCCCATCATAACTGCTGCAGCAGGTGTGCAGACCAAGGACCTACAGAGCATACAGTAGATCTCCTCTAAGGATTCCCCGAGAGATCCAGGGTCCACCGAGGATCCAGCAGGAGTTACCACGTCAGGTTGGAGCAGACCTCTCAGATGACATGCATTGCTGGTAATATGTGGAAGGCTATTAGAATCATTTTTTTTGAGCTCTGTAAAATCTCTTCTTTCAGAGTGAACTCGGCTGTCACGCAACATTGACAATATTGTCATTTTCTTGATACGTTGTATCGATGGAAAGGATCCAAATCTCCCTTTATGATTAATTCTGGTGAGGAAAGACACATGCACAATGTATGACATCCCCGGATTTCTCCTCGCTCTCCATGCACTTAAAATGCCATGAAAGGGGCTCCAGACTAAACGGTGAAATATTTTCCTGCTTGAGAAGCGTTTCTGATACAGAAATAACAAAATCTGCTGCACAGTCCATCTGGCATCACGTAGAGTGCGGCCGGGCCGCCATGTCACTGCGCAGGTGGCGAGATCGCATGTTTCAGTAGAATTGATTTTCCCATTGACTCCAATATGCTTTACCAAAGTGAAAAATATATTTAGCTGAAATGTCAAAGAACTCAATTTCATTCATCCCCAAGAAGGAGGCTTTTCTAGGCAGGAGGCCTCATTCTGAAGCAGCAGGGTAGGTGTGGGCTGGTGGTGGATGGTCCTCATGACTGTAAGCCCACCAGGTTCTAAGTGGTAGTAAACCATGGAAAAATCTTCTCCCTGCAAGCTGTGAGCGTAATGTGCTAGTGTGCATCTCATACAATGAGGCATCGCATACAATGAGGCATCGCACTCAATGAGGCATCGCACACAATGAGGCATCGCACACAATGAGGCATCGCATTCAATGAGGCATCGCATCAGGGGCGGACTGACAACTCATGGGGCCCCTGGGCAATAGGGGATCATGGGGCCCCTGTGTCCTTGCCCAAACTCAAAAAAGCCTATGAAAAAGGTACCAGGGGCATCTCATGGGGCCCCTACTGATCCCGGGCCCTCGGGCAGCGCCCGAGTTTCAAAAGGGTCAGTCCTCCCCTGCATCACATACAATGGGGCATCGCATTCAATGAGGCATCGCATACAGAACTCCTATACAGTTAGGAGATATGTACAGTACCTACCAGGGGCGGACTGACAACTCATGGGGCCCCCGGGCAATAAGGGATCATGGGGCCCATGTCCTTGCCCAAACTCAAAAAAGCCTATGAAAAAGGTACCAGGGGCATCTCATAGGGCCCCTACTGACCCCTGGAGCAGTGCCCGAGTTTCCAAATGGTCAGTCCGCCCCTGGTACCTACAGGTAAGCCTTATTAAAGGCTGCGGCATGTGTACACACTTCTCTGATGCCTTTGCAGCTAAGGGGCGCTAAAATTGTGGATCAACCATGTGCTTTTACCATACCCCCATCCGCTAGTGTCAACAGGACCTTACCCTCCCCTAGAATAAACAAACAATTAACCCATGCAGAGCAGAGGCAGCCCCACTGCAAGGGACACATTTCAAGTTTCCTGGAGTTGGGCTTTAAATGATATTCATATAAAAGCAAGCAGTGTAAGTAAGTGAATACGACCTGGTATCAGCCTCTTCCATTTCCTGTACGGCAGAGCTGTACGGCAGAGCTCAGAGAAGCAGCATAAACTGAGCCAATCAGGTGTGTGCTGCCATACAGGAAGAATGTTAATAGGAGGAGAGAGCAGAGTGATAGAGAGACAGACTTATAGGTCTACTGCTTGACATTTAATTGTCCAATATGGGTGTTCACAGGCTGGGGGAGGGACAAGACCTGTCAGTGTTACTTCACTGCAGCAGAGAAAAATCTGGTCTCTGTCTGTGCCAGGCATGACTGTGCTTTGATGCAGAACAGTGTATATCTCAGGAATGGATGGACAGAAATACAACTCCTCCATCAGGTTAAATATTAGAAAGGACAATACACAAGCGGCAGCATCAGAAGTGAGAATGTAAGAGAGTAAGAGTGTAAATGGCAGAATAAGGAGTAATGTGAACACAATTGTAGCCTCCTGGACAGCCCTGCACACAGTGTTGTATAATGGTGACCTGTGATGGGGGATTATTGGCTGCTTTCAGTGTGTGGTGGAGACCTAAATGGCCGGCTGGGCTCTTCTGCAAAATACAAGCTGTCAGCAGTGGTTTCAGTTCCTGGGAAAGTTCCCTGAAGACGTCACTGAGACGCCATATGCTCTCACTTATTCACATGTCGTGTCACTGATATCCACAATACACTGACCTCATCTGTCTGAGGGCCCCGGGGACACCCAGCCATCCCAGCAAAAGGTTTCCTTCTGTTTGTTTTTCTCCACCTTGTTATCTTGTAGATTTATCGGAATTACAGCGTTTTGCGTCGCTTGTGTATTTTATTTTACGCAAATTCATGTCCACTGACCTCCCAGGTAACAGATATGTCACGTTATCAAGTCCGGAGCTCATCTTACATCATAAGATTCCCCCAATTCCCACACATGGCGGCCTGGACGCAGCTGCTGCAACATCTGTCCACACAGCTAATAATGATCCACCCGGTGTTCTGTATGGACAGAAGATGGGGGGGGGGGAGCTTGGGGGGAAATCCTCATTATATGAATGGGGAAAAGGCTCCATTATCACCACAAAGCCACAACTTACAGTGTTACTAACCCCACAACAGTAAGGTCAGTCTGTATATCGCAGCAAAGCATGCTTGGTATACTAAGGGGTTAATCCTTTGCATTGTGTAAAAATGCTGTTTGATCCTGACTTCTCTGCTCCTCCTCTTGTTCCAAACTTCAGGTCGTATCTCCTGATAAGACAGACAGAACCCGTAGCCATTCTACACATGCTCAGTTTGGTGTGTATTGCTAGAGAAGTTTTTTTTTTTCTAGGGAGAGTGTATGTGATCAGCACAGGGCCAAACAGCACTGTCTAGACGGAGATCAGGGGTTCTGCATCCTCCTAGAGTAGAATTAAATATTCTCCTGCAAGCTTTAACCAGTACGCTGAAGTCACAAGACTGCTCTAACTGTGTAAATGAGAAAAGGTATTTAGCAGTTTACTAAAATAATTGCACTTCCATGTTCTGTGTACTGTGGGAGACCAGATATAGTGAATGCAGGGTCCGGGATTTAGTAATACTTTAAAGCGGCATTAAATCCAGAACCAAAAATGTAATATATGACAGTTTACCTACCATTGGATGTGGTGGCTGCATTAGTTTTCTTTTTTAGGCTTTTTCCCCTCTGTTTCCACCTGGTGATCTGGCCAGTAACACACCTCCTGTATTAGAGCGCCCTCACTATGGTTGAAAAAGCACCAGGGCTTAGCAAACAGCAGCATTTTCAGTTTGGGGGGAGGGGTGTGTTAGATGTACTAGCATATTTAGATATACTAACACACTGAAGCCAAACTCAAGCTCACACTTACTTACACTTACTTAGTTACAACAAATAGGTTTTTTTTTTCCTTTTGGGATAAAGGTTTTACATAAATAAATAAAAGCTAACCATTGTAAGCACCCTGTCAGTGGTAAATGGTTTGTCTCATCTCTGTAACCTCAAGAGAGCTTGTCCGTTTGAAAAATAACAGACTTATTGGCTGAACCACCAGATGAAAAGAAGGAAAAATAAAGACAAAAGCAAAGAAAACGAATGCAGACACCACATCTAAGAATCGGCAAGCTGCAATAAAATAAATGATTGCTTTTGGGTTTAATACTGCTTTAGTCAGCCTCTCAATGATCGCTGCTTTGAAAGATGCAAGTATTTTTTTTTTTCAGGGAAACATCATTTCTAAAAGTGCCAGTGATTTATAAAGCTCATTTTGCAGATTTTGTCTACCTTTTGAATACATTGAAAACACATCAGGAACATCAAATCCAAAAGTCAGCGACCTTTCCCACATTAAAGCGGAGTTCTTGCTGAAAAAAAAAAAGTCAGCAGCTACAAAAACTGTAGCTGCTGACTTTTAAAATACAGCCACTTACCTGTCCCTCGGTCCTGCGGTGTCCTCACCATGGCTGGTTTCACCGGCCGTCTTCTCTCCCTGGTGCCGGCATCTTCAGTGTGCACAAGAAGCGCTGAGCTCTGTGAATGACCCCGTACCCGTAATCTTCTGGGACCTGTCACCTGTCCCTGAAGACTACGGGGAGGGAGGAGAAAGGACAACTTCGATCGCCTGGAACGCAGCGGAAGTGGGAGCGGGTACCTGTCAAATTCGGGTACCCCCTCCCCAAAGGTAGCAATCCTTAATGGGGAGCGGGGGACAAAGCATTAAAGCAGAACTTCCCCTCTTGGGTGGAGCTCCACTTTAAAGTAGAGCTACAGGCAAACGTTTTCTTAATTTTGGATAGAGTACAGGTGGGTATAACCCCTGTAAGGTTGATTTTTACCACCTGTGTCCCATTGGGGAGATTTCCCGTCACTTCCTGTCCCATAGCCAAACAGGAAGTGAGAGGAAATCTCTGCAAATTAAGGGAATCCCCAGGTTACCAGAACTAGTGTCCCCATTGGAAGATTTCCCCTCTATTACTTTTCTGGGCAGAACCCAATATTTGAGATTTTCTTCCACTTTCAGTGATAACTGTAAACAGGATAATAGAGGGTGAATCTCCCTAATGGGGGCACAGAGAGCAATAAAAACCTGACAGGGGTTCCAATCACTCTCCACTCTATCTAAAACTAAAAAAAAAAAAATTTGCCTCTAGGTATATGTCCCCTTGCACACAGAGCTGCCTAGGTGCAGTGTGGCCCTCCAGGGGCTTTAGTACAGCCAGGCAGCATCCAGCCCCATTGCTGGGAGCCTGTCAAGAGTCTATGGCAGACTGTTCTGGATGGTGCACTGAGCAGCACCGACGGTTAGAACCGTGTGCATTCAGGGATGAAGGTCCACAATGCAGGTCTTGGATGCTTCACCAGTCCCTTCCTGATGCAGCAAATCCCTGGGATGGGCCCACTACTCCTAGATGTCCCAGTGTTCAGGGGGTCCTAGTGTCATGTTCACAAGCACTTGCATACTCAGCGTTCTACAGGATTGAAGATTTTTCTTTCCTAAAATCTCACAAGATCTAATGCGATCCTCCTGGAAGGCGCTGGTGACATATCCCCCCCAATAGGCATCGGTGAGGTCCTGGCCCAACAGTGCCCTAAGGCTAGGCTCACACCTATGCAGGTTGCATTTGAGCCGTTTCTGCATTTCATTTTGCGTTGTGTTTTTGATGCGTTTTGCGTTTTTTTTTCTTTTTTTCTATTGTTGCTAGGCAGATTTAAAACGCAAAACGCATAAAAAATGCATATAAAATTCAGCCAAAATGCAATACATGCTTTTCTGCAGCATTTCCATTGAAGTCTATAGAACCAAAAACGCAACTTTTTGCGTTCAAAAAAGTCCCTGACCCTTTCCAAAAAACGCACTAGGTGAAAATGCACAGGTGTGAACATGTCCCATAGGAAATCATGTTAAATGGACTGTAGTGTGTTTTTGCAAAACACTGCAGAAACGCTTAGGTGTGAACCTGGGGTAGTACAGGGACCTCCAAACTTCCTAAACAAAGAGCCAGTTTACTGTTCTTCAGACTTTAGGGGGCCAATGGGAGTAGAAAATATCCTGGAATCAGTGGGGTTAAACAAAGCCCCATCATTGGTGTCAGTGGGAGAAAAAGTACCCTATTGTTGTGTCAGTGAAAGGAAATATGCCTCAAGGGCCGGATGAAGGCAAGCCCAGGGCCGCAGTTAGCAGACCCCTGCCCTAATAGATCAGAGAGTATGATTCAGTGGTAAGAATAAAGAATAGAATAGAATATTAGAACAAGAGAAATATGACATAATTCCTGTACTGTAAATGATGTCCTTAAGTTTTAGGATCTGCATGCAGAGGTGTAATTACCAGAGAATTGTATGGTTGGGGGGGGGGTTGATCCAATACAGGTTTTAGATCAGTGTTTTGTTGGACACACAGGATTCAATCTTATTATCGGATCGATGTGCAAAACTATCAATTCGGTAAACAATCTAATAGGCACAGCTTCCTTTTTGATTGGTTCAGAACAGGGGCGGACTGAC